ATTAGCTCTTGGGCACCGATAAATCGCATGTAGTTGAAATATAAGAAAGGGATATCTGTTGCTCAATATTAATTTGTTACTGCTTAGAACGAAACTGTGACGAACGGCTCATGAGGATGGTTATGTCAAATAGAAATCTGTCATTGGATCTCTGTGCTTTTAGCAATAGTCTGATCACAGATAGGCTATTATAGAAGTATTTAAAGCCAACCATAAATAGATCTTAGTGGTTCTTTTTTTGACCCTTTGAATTTCAGTTCAGATATATTCATTTATCTGTATCTTATATTTTGGCAGAGATCATGCTTACGAGATATTCCATTAGGGATATCTTTGTTTTTTTTGTGGATTTTCATTAAGATTAAAAATGAACATTGTAAAATGTTTCAATTCATCTATTTCAATTGATAAAAAAAATGAGAAATGAATGTGGATGCCAGATTTTGATTAGGAGAGCGATCATGATCATAAAACGTGTTTTAAAGTTCATGAAAAGTCGAATTGACTTGTTTTTTGGGCATTTTCTGCTAAGAAAAACCAAAAAATATTTTGATAAGAAGAAACAAGTGTTCGTCTAACTTCTTCACTTTAAAATATGGTTTTCTTTTTTTTTTCTTCAATGTGGGTTGTGGGTGACGATGAAGAGCAGATACACTCACACCCACACCCTTCAAATCATCAATGAATTTTTGTAAGCTAAGAAGATTCTTCAATGAAAATATCATCAAAGAATTCAGTTGATAACATTTGGCATATTTTCATCAATCTGATTAGATGAAAAAAATGTCCTATAATTAAATTTTATATGCATCCAATGTATTTCTATTTGACTGAAATGTTGTATTCCAAAATCAAAAAAATATAATTTTCAAGTAAATAACTGAAAACTGTCGTTGAACAGAATATTGTTTTACTAAATAAACTCTCGTCATTATGCATGTAAACAAGAAATGGACTACAATAAAATTTTAAAAATCGGTATGTTCTTTTTAAAGAAAGAAACAAATGTGAATGAGCTTCTTGATTTATAATTGGATTTGAAACTGCTTGACATGCATCTTGAACAAAGTTCATGAAAAAAGCAGGACAAGCATTGTAACGTCAATCAAAACATTTAAAAACTGAATCAATATTATAAAACGTTACTTCAACATATTAAAGGGACTCTATATGATGCATTCATCTATATAAATAATTTATGTTTGGCGTATACTTTGCTTTGATTTCCTGGTTTTCTAAGCAATATTTAACATGAATCGATGAAAAATAAGATCAAAATGTGTCAGTGTCCTCAACGAAGATACATATGCATAATAAATTTTTACGTTTTTAACTTTTGAAAAGATTTGTAAACATTGATTTAATACTTTATCACACAAATCAATTAATTATCAAATGCCATATTTTTCACATAAGTTCTATATAGCATCTGAAAATTGAGAAACGCTTTTTCTTTAGTTTTCTTTTTCATTTTTAAAAATTAGCAGCAAATGTTAAAACAAGTACAAGGTGGTCCAAAAAAAACTTACACCCTTTTTGTAATGCTGTTGTTTTATTTTTAACATTCAGTTTTAGTCCAATTCTTTTTGCAATAGATAGGCCTAGGAAAAAGTCACTAGGTTGATATAATTTTATTTTGAAACCCTTTCACCGTAAATGAAAATAATAAAAGTAATTGATAAAATATGAAATTTGTGCTCGAACGGTATACTTTCATCGGAAAATAAAAATCATCTCTGACTGAGAGTTATTTTTGACTGGAAATTTTCTATAGTTATAAAGCTTCTTGTAGTATATTCATCATAGAAAAAAATTCAATTCAAAAAAAGATTCATTTTATCAGAGAAGCTTTTGTTTTCATAGAATTATTCATATTTGATGATGAGTGCTGCTTCATGTTTTTTGATGGTACTAAATTTCATTCTCAGCATGAAACTAAAATTTATCAGTAATTTATACATATTGTTTTAGTAATTGTAAAGCTCCGTCTGCGGTATAGAAACAATCGTAACTGAAACTAAAATAAACGCTGAAATAAAGAAATTGGTATGGTTCATCATTTTATGAACAAATATCGATGATTAATATTGCATCGATATTTTCTAATAATATTAGCAAATTGCCACTAATGCCAAATAATTTATATATGAACTTAAACTGTGGACGTCGATAAATTTCGCGTAAAAATTTTACGTCATAATTCTGTTTCTCTATTGAATTATTGAATTTTTACAACAGGACTCAAAAATAATAAAGATTATTTCGTCCCCGAACAGATTTTATATTTAATCAATTACTTTTTTTTTACTTTCATTTACGGTGAAACGGTTTCGAAATAAAATTATATCTCCTAGTGACTTTTTCCTAGGCCTAATCTGTTGCAAAAAGAATTGGACTAAAACTGAATGTTAAAGATAAAAAAACAGCATTACAAAAAGGGGGTAAGTTTTGGGTGTGGGTGTGGGTGCAGGTGTCTCTTCTCTTCAATGAGACCCGCCCCATATCCACACCCTGTCGATTTTTTTCAATCGGTATTTATATAAACAACTTGCTTTCCTATCTATCATGATACTTAATTTACTCGAATCAATAAGATATTTAAAATTGATAGACAATTCAATACCAACGCAATTATCCCATTGACAAAATGATTCTAAATGTCTTTACTTAATTTTTTTTCTACATTATCTAATCGATTTTCGCAGATAAGTAAATAAAATGACAATGATTCATGAATAGAAGTTGAACATCTCTGATTACTAATTTGTAAACAACGAAGAGATCAAAAACATATTCACTAGAGAATGGCGCTCTATCATTCAATGATTTTATTTTATCAATCTACAATGTTTTCCATCAGTCTCTTTCTATTTATCTTCGTGTCAATCGCTGACGTATATTCTCAAAGTTCACTTACATGTATTGGACCCAAATACAGTGGCATCAATGGTCAATGCTCCTTTACATTTTCTATTAACCAGTCGTTACCTGATACAACTGCACTCCTTGACGAACTATACAATTGTACAATGAACAAGATTAACACTGTTATTCCCGTATTAATTTCATGTTTTTCTTCGATTACAATTAATTATAATACCGGTCGGATGCAGATTAACTTTACTGAAATCAATCGAAGTCAGTCATCAACGAATTTTTCAATGAACATGTTGGAGTTGAATCCTACTGCTGACATTGTCATCCAATACGAAATTATCGGTTGGATGCAAGAACATAAAGTAACAATGATTACACGTATCGAATGTCAATATAACAACGATTGTGCACTGAATGAACTCCGTCGACTTCTTCCGCAGTTGGTATCCAACAAATTGAGACCTTTCAATTCGAGCAGTTTTGCAGCTCTATTCAACGAACCGACACCACCATCGGGTACCAAACTCACGTAAGTGTAGAAATCACAAAAGAAGAATCAAATACCTTTTTTTATGACGTTATTTTATTATTTGAATGAGAACTGTAAGAAGAGAAGATTTTTTCTTTTTTGAAAAATTTCCTGCACATTTCTTCCTTGTGATTTTTCATATGTAGATGCGAGAATAAATTTAATCAAACAGAAATATGCAATACTGGCTCGTCTCGATGTGCAGCTATGAAACTAAGTATTAATACACTTGCAATGAAAAGTTGCAGCTCGATCGATCAACTCTCGAGTGATTTTCTTTATCGATTCAATGTTGTACGTGGCACAGCTGTAGTTCCGGAGTCGATCAAAGAAGCATTCATATATCGTTATTCATGCAAAAAATCGAACTGCAATAGTGAAACAAATTTACAAAGAGTAAGTTTTATCTGACTCACTTAGGCACATGTCTCAAAGAATTTTCATCTCTCAAAAATCGATTATTGTAGAAATGTAACAAATTTTGAATGCATTTTTTTCAATAAAAAAAAAAAAAAAGAAAACGAACATTTGGTACAACCAAATATGGATGTTTCCTTTTCATCTATCAATAGTGACAAGATATAAAAGTGAATAGTTATAAATCTTTTCATTGATTAGAAAAGAAAGTATTGTCCATTTCAAAATAAAATTCACTCAGTTGTTTGTTGAATAACTCGGCAATGCTGTTAGCTATTGAATTGGAATGTTCACCGTTAGGAAGAGACTAGGTGGGGTAACGATATAGCTGAGAATCAAAGAACTTCAACAGATTTATAGGAATTGTTGGAAAGGTTTTTTTACACACCCGTGACTAACTCTTTTGATCATATGTTTTCTTAAATTCAATATAGCCTAGCATCTACTCTCTCAACACTAAAATTTTCAGGCGTTGTTTAACCTTTTCTTGAGATACAGGAAAAAATCTCTTGAAATCTACTGACAATAAATTTTCGCCTCCGATTTCTTAACTATAAAGGGTTCGAAAAACCTGAGGATCAATTGTTAATGATATTTTTTTATACTTTTTCTTGACGCAGAGTGTTGAACTTTTTATCACATATACATCTAATCAAGATCTTTTTTTTATGAAAGTTTCAGCTCTATAGCTCTAACTAATGGTGAAATGCATCGACAAGATTAAAAGACATAACCTTTTATAGTTGAAAAATCGGAGACAAAAATTTATCGTCAGTAGATTTCCGGAGATTTTTTCCTGTATCTCAAGGAACGGTTGAAAAAGCCTTAAAATTTTAGTATTGAGTGAGTAGATTCTAGGCTACATTGAAATTAAGAAAACATGTGATCAAAAGAGTTAATCATTGGTGTATAAAAAACCTTTCCAACAACTCCTATAAAGCTGTTGAAGTTCTTGGATTCTCAGATATATGGGGACCCTCACCTAGTCTCTTCCTAACGGTGAAAATCGCAATCCAATAGCTAACAGTATTGTCGAGTTATTCAACAAACAATCGAGTGCATCTTATTTTGAAATGGACAATACTTAGTTTCGATTTAACAAAAGCTTTAGACAACAGAGAGAACGTTCTTGTATCATCTCTCTTATTTTGCTTACTGACGATTTTAGGCATCTGAAATGGCGCGCCACTTTGCTCTGGGTACATGGTACGACGCGTACAATATGAGTGATCCATCGGTATTTGCACTTCAAACATCTAATTCACCACGTCCAGTGACACAAACGTCTAAATCAACACGTCCGGTGACACAAACATCTAAATCAACACGTCCTGTATCCCAAGAATCTTATTCAACATTCATCTTGTCGTGGTCACCTCATCCTTCATCTTCTATGTCTCAATCATCGAATCCGTGGTTATTGTCAGAACCAAATGCAAATCAAAACGAAATCGGACAGAATTCATCGGTCGCTTCATCTTTCAAAGCAAATTACTACTGGCTGATTTTTATTTTCTTCTTGAATTAAATATATACAAATCCTTTTGAAAATAATGGGAAGATTTTACTTTCCATCCGATTTGAAAGAAAACAGAAACTACCATTTGTATAAAAGACTCAAAGCTAAACTGTTTGGTGTATGTCTATTCAGGCAAAAAGTTGGGAAAAAAACAGAAAAACTGAATTTTACATCCATTTGGGGCTTGTCTATTTTTTCGTGAATTTGCAGAGAACAACATTTTGTATGTTTTAGTGCAAAAACTAAACACTTTGCAATTGAATTTTAACTTAAAAAAAATTCAATTTTTAAAAATTCTTTCAGACTCACCGTGATTAATACTCCTAATAGATTTCTAATTTCGTAGAAAACCTTGAATATTCGAAAATGGATCAACTACATAGAAGAAGACATAATTCTCAATCTTTTAGTATAATTTATTTTTTTCTGCTTTCGAGATCCATTTTCATGTTTCTGCATACTTGTAAAATGCACGAGCAACAATGCGTCACAGTTAAAACATACAGGGTATATAAACATTTGGATTGCTGTGCCAAGAAAAATTTTCTGTTTAAATTTGAAATTCTCTATCGTTTGGTATATAAATAAATATTTTTTTTATAAATAGAGTGAGCGAGAAATATTGCATTTACATTGAGTTGGATTCAATACGGCTCATCCGTCAGTTCTGACAGCCACCGTTCTACTTAAGCAGGGTGGGTGTGGGTGTGTGTTACTGAGTTGGTTGTCTTCATCAACAGCCACACCTCACACCCTCAAGTTGACCAATAGACTTGTAAAAGATACATTATTATGCATTTGAGATATATATTTGAATTAATATGACCTTTGATAACTGAAACTATTAACCTTCAAATATATAGAAAAATTTGTGAAATCTAAGTCGAGACCACTTCATTTTTTCATACTTGAGATAAAAGATTTTGGTGTATACGAATGATGTGGTTGTCCTTAAGAGCCATTGCCTGTAAGAATCACGGACTTTGGGAAGTGGCACATCTCAGAACGGCCTGAAAATTTTAGGGTATAGAGAACAAATTGTCCTGATTCCAAAAATATAATTTTTTTTAAGTACTCATAAGGTAATTAAAAAGTTATGGCTGCCTGAAAGTGCTCAAAATGGGTAAAAATCGATTTTTTTAAAATTGTCGAAAAACGTTTTTGATATGCCAAGAATGTAGAGCTCGTCGAGCGGATCATTTTTTACATTGGCAATATTTCTCTAGAACGTAAGCTTCCATCACTAATTTGGCTCTAAAGTAGACAAAAATTAAGAATTTCACCTGTTTTTCCATAAGATCTCATATTTCACCATTAAAATTCAACACAAATACTAGCTCATAATACATAGATGTAATGATCTCACTATCAGCTACACGCTCATGTGTTCACGGACTCTTCAAATCCCTCTCTTTTAGGGTTATACCGCAAAAAACTTCGAAAAAGTGAAAAAAAAAGCCCCATCCGTCACTTGTTTCGATTTATTTTTGTAAAGATATCGAACCAATGACTTCCAATCAAATAGAATCTTGTGCAGCATACTCAATTCTATTGGAAAATGTGATTGAACAATTAAAAAAACCACTTCTAGAAAAAACATTTTTAATATGATTAAGTCGTGATATTCGAAAATATCGCCCTCAAATTTTGTAAAACGTCTCACCAATTTTGCCAAAAGTGGAATGAAAAGCCACATATCACAGATTGTAGAGCGCAAGTTCTACTATTAGGATTTGTATTTAGTTTTGTTAGCGCTGTTCCTTTGTGTGGGTGTTGGTGTGGGTGGGTGGGTGTGGGTGTGGGTATGGGTGTGGGTTGTGGGGTGTGGGTGTGGGTGGGTGGGGATGTGGATGTGGGTGTGGGTGTGGGTGAATGGGGATGTGGATGTGGGTGTGGGTGTGGGTGGGTGTGGATGTGGGTGGGTGTGGGTGCGGGTGGGTGTGCGTGTGGGTGTCGGTGTGGGTATGGGTGTGGGTGTAGCTGTGGCTGTGGCGCTGGGTGTGGGTGGGTGTGGGGTGGGTGTAGATGTGCTTGTTCTATTCATATCCGCCGACACTCATACTACCTAACACCTACACCCTAACCCCAGGCCCCACCCACCTCACACCCACCACACACCCACATCCACACCCACACCCACCACACGCCCACATCCACACCCACACCCACACACCCATTTGGATGATTACGATATTTATTCAACAAATACTTATATACTATTTGTTCACCAATACGCCCAATGTATAAATCTGATCCTTCAGATAGAATGTCGAATAATACCAAATGTGATGCTTATATTGATGATACATCTGTTAATTCAATATTATCAAGTTGTTCGTTTTCAGATGTAATAAAAACAGACGGTATCGTTTTTCGATAATGATCTATAGATGAAGCCATTGATGGAATTCGACCTTGAATGAAATCTATAGCATAAAAAAATTCTCTCTAAAATGAAATTTTATTACCATAAAATGGAAATTGATTAAATTGTGGCATAGTTTGATATGACCGTTGTAAACTAATTAAAGTATTATTCTTATCACTTTGACTTTTTGAACTGGTTATTAGTGTTTTTTGCAGTCACTGGAATAACTACAGCTCTATTAGTATTTGTTTCTTGTGTTTTGATGGAAGAAGTAGATTTGTTCGGCTCAGATGAGATTGTGGGTGAGTGTGGGTGTAGGTGTGCGAAAAGAGAAGACTGGTGTCAACATTCACAACCACGCCCACACCCACACCCTTTTGACAAAAATTATCACACATGAGCGTGCTCATGTGATTTAGAGTAAATGTGGCGCATATTAATACAAGCCAACATGGATCCGAGATGGAATCGGGTTTAACAGAGAGTATTGCTTGCTGCAATAATGTACCATGTCCTTTCATATAAGAACTTGAAGAAATGGTTCTAAATTCTCTTTCGTCCAATTTGGAATTTCAAAATGTAATTTCTTCACATAGAAATACCAGTATTATTCCCGTGCAATGTTCACGTTTATCGTAAAGAAGAAATGCATCGGAACCATCGAGATATTCGGGATTGAATGGATCATTATCACGATAGAATTCTTCCGGTATATATCGTCCATTCTGACATTGATATTCATTCTCTTCACAATCATTAATTGCCAATTCTCAATATTTTTCATCTTATTCTCTATCAATACAATCTAGAATTCCATTGCAAATATCACTTCAATCAAGACCAATCGACATTTCATTTTTCTTTTGATAGAAATAATCAATCATTTGAGTAAATGGTGAAGAATAAAATTCGTCGTGATCGAACATATATTGACATATTAGACTAAATCCCATCTGTATTTCATTTAAATGTAAACATTCGTCCAGATAACATTGATCACGTTCGATAAAAACGCGTGGTGCTGACCAATGTTACAATTGTTCATTGGTAATATTTTGTAATCGTAATTCAGTAAAAGTAAAGTTTTTATCTCGATTATTCGTCTCTTTTTTCCATTCGGATGACCATTCACTCAAACAATATAGTGTGATTTGATAGGAACATTGCATGACAATTTCATAACGACTCTTGTTTATTTTATCTGTATAACGAAGATTAAATTGAGGTGAACTCCTTGCTGTGACAACTGAATACAAGGCCATTAACTACACAAGTACTTGAATGAATGACATATCGGTATCATGATGAGGGAAATATGATTTGATTTTCTCTTTCTGTTTCTCTTCCTATGAAATAGGAAGAAAAATGATAAGGAATGGTTATCTTATCAGAGTTCGTCCCTACATTTATTCCTGCATTAACATTTTTTTATTATTACATATGTCCTCGAATTTGCTTTCGGGGTAACGGATGTCAATTTACATTTAATCGTCATGAAAAATTCTATGCATGATATATATGAAAGTGTAAACTCGAAGCAAAGCAGAATTTTCGTCACAATTTCTCAATTACTTACCCAACTATTCTGTTGAATGACTCATTATGTATACATTTTCACTTATATACGCGTGTCAATGCTCACTCTTCCTTTCTTTTCTTCATTCGTCTAACGCGTATTGTAATGACGACTTTCATTGGCAAAATGATGAAACATGATGTACATTTACCAAATTTTGAAGACCAAGATAAATTAGCTTTTTTGATATTCAACGTTTTTACACCAGATGAATGTCAACAATGGATTGGATTGAGTGAACAACGTGGTTATAGTACAGCAACCGTAAATGTTGGTGGTGGAATGTCACAATTAATGACTGATTTTCGAAATAGTGATCGTTGTATGATTGATGATGTGGCGATGGCTCGAACTCTTTTCCAACGAATCGAATCATTTTTACCACAAACATGGAAAAATTACCAATTAGTAGGTCTCAATGAACGTCTACGATTTCTTCGCTACGATCCTGGACAATATTTTGAGCCACATATGGGTAAGAATATCCTCTGTTTTTTCCCTTTCGTCGACTAAATTTGTTCTTTTTCTTAGATGGTGAATTTCATCGCAATGATGGATCAAATGAACAAAGTTTTATTGTAAGTGATAAAAATAATAATTCATTATTATTATTCTAGATATTTTTTTTTTTGTTCATAGACCATTCAACTCTACTTGAACGAAGGCTACAAAGGTGGCGCAACTACTTTTGTTCATTATTCGGACTCCACTAGAAATGTTCCATGTGTTCCACGGACGGGAATGGTACTTGTATTTGAACATCGTCTTCTTCATGAAGGATCAAGATTGATCGAAGGCCGGAAATATACAGTCCGTACTGATGTTATGTATCGACCGAAGAAGAAATAGGTCTATTTATCTCAGAATTTGTCTTATAATAAAAATTTCAACTTCACAAGTCGAGACAAAATACGTTCGAACGTAGTCATTAAATAGCATTATTACAATGTTTCTTGATCTTTGTACATTTTTAATACAGTACTAACTTGTTCTGATTGACCTATGGATAGAATTTGATCAAAATTCAAGCGTTTTCTCACTTAAACATACACTGATTGAGTGGTT